GGGGATACAAAGAGGATTGCATCTGTTTCTGCTGTTGATAAAAAATACTGCCCATTGCCATCATTTTGATGGTAGTTGCACTGTCTTTCTCCAAATTGCTGTAGTGAAGTTATTTTTGAAAATTACAAGTTTCCAGAACTCAAACTTATTTTATATCAGCATCCAATTAGGTATGGACAATCTGTTTTGTAGACAGAAGGCAAGGTTTCCAGCTGCTGCATGCTGACTGCTGCAGTTGTTAGGGCAGGTGTCAGATGTGAGCCTGTCCCACCTACATAGCCACGGTGCGGGTCGGTCTCTGACACTGTTGCCCTCAGGGCAAGAAAGCTTGGAAGGGGCAGAGTGCCTCAATACCCCAAATGAAATGCTCTGATTATTTCTTGCTTACCAGAAGTACACAGAGACTCTGGGGCAACTCTTAGCCAGGTTTCTGCTTTGATTCTGTTGTTAGAGGAATCCATCTTTCCTCTTAAAACATGCAGGTAAATCACTGGTGATCCTCTTGTTCCTCAGATAAGTCCAACATTTGGTCTCATTAAAGATGCTCCAAAACTATTCTGGATATCTCAGAAATCTCCGAATTCTGTTGACATTCCTGACATTTATATCATTTCTAGCATATTTTATTCTTGCTTGTGTCTTTAGCAAGAGTGAAAACATTGCCACACTGAATATATTTTCAGTTGTGTCACATGGCCCAACAAGCTGTGGCTGAAAAAATTTGAAATCTTTCTCCATTGATATGAATGAGATTTGTAGTTTGGAGATGGGTAAATGATGGGAAGGAAATAAAACTTGGCTTTTAATAGTTCTTTGAATTACAAACTTTTGAATTAACAGGACTCGTTCACTCATTCTGGGGGGTACGTGCAGCTGACAGAACAAGCTGTAAGGACAGGTGTGGGAATGCACAGATGTGCAATTTGAGACAGTGCTGATCATAAACTGCTGCTGGCCACACCATCAGCTTCAGTTGTATTAAAATGCATACCTCTTATGGTAAACTGAGTTTTACCAGCACTGAATTAATTCAGGAAGGGTCGAAGCCAAACTTGGCTGCTAGAACGTACAATTTTCAAACAGTGCAGTTAGTCACTGTTACTGGGAGCCTTCTGTTAAGGCATCATTGCATGTTCAAGCCAAGTCCAGCAGAAGTTCTGATTTAAAGCTGTTCTCTGCCAAGTTGTGGGCTGTTTGGAGGCAAGCAACACTGATACTGTGCTAATGAATGACAAAATTTATGCAGTTCCTTCCCCAATAGAAACTGATTACATTGGTTAAGCAATTAGAGAGCTTTGCTTCTGTGTTTGTTGGTCTGGAGAACTAGTCTTTTCCTGGATATGAGCAGTGCTCGCACCTTGTCCTGTGAGGCACAGCTGGAATAACCACCCTTGGTTCCATACAGTCCAAACTGAGATGGCCTGATTTGTGCCAGCTGAGGATCCCTGCGTTAAGGACCTGGTTGTGTTCCCATGAGATTAGTGTTAAAAGTCTTACTGACTTTTGTGTGATATCTGTTCTCAAATGCAACAGAGACTATGGAGAAAGTTGCAGTTGCTTTGTACATGGATAGCATAGCACAGTGTGTTGTACATTTTTTTTTTCTAGGGCACTAGCACTGCATTAGTATTTATCATTTCCAATCTTGCAAGTTCTCCCACATTCTTAACCTTAAACCATATAAAGTTTTGTTAAACAAATGTATTGAATCTACATTAATTTCATTAGGTCTGTGCCCTAAATAATATATTTTTATTGTAAAAATGGCACATTTAATTTATGTCCACTTATAAATAATTTATTAGTAATCAGTAAATGATTAATAGACATCCTCCCCTTTAGTTATTTAAGGCAGTGTTGAGTAGGACAGTAAGAGCTAATGCATGCTACGATGTATAAGTGCTATGAAAAAACGGATAGCATCTTCTAGTAATGTATTTTAATATTATTTATACATGTCTCTCTCATACGTTATACAGTAGTGTGCCTTGCAGTAATTTTTCTTGAGAAAGCAATGCCTATACTCATTATCCATGTGTCCAAAATTGTCATCTTAGTTTATAGTGATGCTGGTACTTACTATTTACCTTTTTAAAACATTAATACTGTTTACTTAATCACTGTCTGGATGAGTGTAATGAGGAAGGAGAGCAGCTCTGAATTAATCCTGCAGACAGTACATGGGCTTGCTGCACCCATTTGGGGCCTCCAGCCCCAGTTGGAGCACAGAGCTGGCCTGCAGAGAACTGAAAAGATGTGGTGTCCCAGAAGGAATTAAAATACAAAGCTCAACTTTCAGCATTTCACAGTGAATGCAGATAATGCTGCTTCATGAATTTGATTGCCGTGCTCCTATCTCTCTCTTGTTTTTTTTTTTTTTTTTGCCATAAAATACATGGCTCTAAATGCATTAAAAGGAGCAAAATCTCAGAGTTCAAAGCTTTTCTAGAGTTCTTGCTTCTTTATTATAGATTTGTAACAGTTTGTTGAGTATTCCAAATTATTTAAAATGTGACCTTGTAGTAAATATTATTTTTGTCTTTAAGTGTCAAAGTAACACAGAATCATCCAGCTTCCTTTTTAAAATGCACCCTAGAAAGCCACTGGCATAGTAATCATAGTGATTATTCATTAGTATCAAGTGGCAAGTTTCTAGTACAGAAAAATAAATAAGTTTAATGAAAATGCAGTGACAGGAAAATAAGGAAACAGAATTGAACAACTGATATTTTAATATCTCGATTTTCTCATTGAAAGTTAATGGGTGCTTTTAAACTGACTTCGCATGGAATACGGTCAGTCCAATAACTGCTGTCTGCTGATGTACTCAGGACAATTGCAGATAACTTAAGTAGCACTGTGATTGATGGTGTGTGCTGTTCCAGACTCGCAGTACAGGATTCGGTGATGATACATAATGATGCTTCCCTGTACTCATTTCAGATCTGGGCTATAGTTGTAACAGGAAAATATAATAATAAATGCATTCCAGATATGTCTCCAAACGATGCATCCTTAAACTGATACTTTTAAAATGAGCTGGCAAGGTAGCAGCACAGTGGGACTCAGGACTTTGCACTTTGAAAGGTTTATCTGTATCATGCCACAAGGTAGACTGTTTTTAGCTTGACTAAGCACTAACAAACCTACATGACATTTTGAGTGGAAATCATTTGAATTCATACAGCTGAGAGCTGGCAGACAGAGCTTGTGCTTGTCTATACCCTAGATTTTCAGCATAGATCTACCAGGAAAGAAATAAGGAAAATGCATGGGTTTCTGTGAACTACTCTGTTCAGTTTAGTTTCCCATGGACAGGTGTCCATTAGTACCAGAACTGTCACATCTTGTACTCAAACTGACACAGCAGGGCAAAGAAGCAATTATGATGTATATCCTTCATTTTTAAAGGTATATATTTCACTGTAACATATAAAATTCATCTGGCATTTTAGATTATATTTAAAAGTTGTCCTAAAAACTCTTGTGGATGAAATAATGATTTTAAGAGATTGCTGTTAGAAAAAAAATGTGCATATCTTTCAATTAGTTCTCGAGCTTTTGATGAATGAATGTTCTAACAACGTAGCTTTTAAAACACTGCTTTTCAGTTCTCTGGAGTTGAGGACTGTCAGATTTCAAGTGGAAGGAGATGATTTGAGATTCTTTAAGTTTGGCTTTAAGTTTGTACTCAAGGGGAGAAAAATGCAGGTCTTGAGATTCCGTTGTCTATTTTTTCTCTTACTGTGACTTCTTACTTTGTCTTCATTATAACCTAGTTTCCACTCTCTCTTTTGGTGAATTGCTGGTAATTTACACACGCTTGTTTGTTGTTTGGTAGAGGTTTTTCTCTGTTGCATTTAGTTTACTAGTAAGAATAGTTTCATCTATTTGTTCCTTTTTACTGTTTTTTGAAAATATGGACAGTGAAGCATTTTCCTAAGATGGCAATGGGAATCCTCCACAGGCTCTGGGAAAACAGTAGAAATAAATGTGAATAATCACAGCATTAGAATACAAAGTTCTGTGATTTTTTTGTTTGTTTGTTTGTTGTTGTTGTTGTATTTTGTAGATATGTGTATAAAAGTAAATGGACAATTGATTACTACTAGAAATGAGCATTCTTGCAAGACGCATAATCTACTTTATGAAATTTTGACATCTGAAATTTGTAAGGCATTAGAAGATTTTAAGATTAAAACGTTTAAAGAAAGCAGATGGCTTCATCCTAATTAATTTAGTGAAATTTATTTAGTATGAAGAAGGGAGAAAGCTAACTGTCTCCAGCATAAAAGCTTTGTAAATGCATTAGCTCCCAAGAGGCCAGCAATCTGAACATTGCCATTGTGCTTATTAGATGAATTAGATATTGTCTTCGTTCCTTAAAAACTGTGAGATAGAATAACTTCTGAAGTTCTTCTAATGCAGAAGGATGAGCAGGCATCCACTTTTGTATTGCAATAGCATTACTTTGTAGCAGTGAAAGTTTGATTCAGCCCCATCTTTCACTCCCGTATTGTCTATCAAGGTTTTAGAATATTGTAAAGATCTATTTTCAATTCAAATCAGTCTTCAACAAAGATCTGCTTGTAGTAGATGTCTCCTTCATGTGCATTGTGAAAAGTATTGCACAGTCTTGGATTGTGCGTTGGACCGGCTTTCGAACATGCAGAACTGGAGAGGGTTGAGGCAGAGTCAAGGAGCATACGTAATGTTTCTGTGCTCATCATTACACCAGTCAGCAAGTACTTTTTCACTTGTAATTTTAGATAACATCCTAGTGGAAGCCATTTTCCTGAGAACTATACAGCACAGAATTACAGGTTTCTATTGCTATGGTGCTTGTTTCCTAATCTGCCTGAGATAAATTTTGCACTGTCGTGAGTGCACTCAACAGTACAAGATTCTATGCTGTGCAGTTTTTTATCAGTTTTTATTGAAGATAACTATATTGGTAAATCCTGTTTGTTTTTTTTCAAAAAGGTTTTTCTTATTCCTAGATTCACAAACATTAGATGAGAAGAATGCATGTGATCTTCGAATCTGAATTCATCTGTATGTGGACCATGGACAGGTAGGCATATATTTTGAAAGATATTATATTTTACAGCCATTTAAGCAGTAGTGAGTTTTACACCTTCCATGGTAGTCTGTTACAGTGTTTAATTATCTAGAATAATTTTGAACAAAAATTGGTGTACTTGGCCTCATTAATGTAAGGCAAAGAAGGGCTTTTTTACAGCAACCCCCAGACAGGATTTGTAAACATCAACTTCATTTTTATTTGGTACAAAGCACATTAACAGCAGCAGCAGAGAGAGAGCTAAAATTTTACAAGTAGAGAATTAATCACAGCGGGTGATGACAGGCTGGTAAAGTGTCTCATTAGTAAAAGAATAACAAGGAGTTTAATGGAGAGTCAGTGTTTTGTAAGTATAATAGCCTGGGTTTTCAAAAAGGATTGGTGATTTGGAAATGCCTCTAGTTTTGATACCAATTCAAACCAGACAGATTTCTGAAGGCATTAAGAACATTTTTCTGCAGCTGCTTTAAAGTTTTCGGAGGGTGAGCTTGCCAAAGACAGACTGTCATTTCAGTCTGAGACACAGTCCTTGACTAAAACATTCCTAGTTTCATAGTGTTTTAGGATGGACCAGCATGCTTTTAAGAAGCAGAATTGCAGCTGATATAAAATATCCTGGACCCAGACACATAGAACAGTGGCAGATTACAGTGACTGACATATTCTCCCTGTTGTGAACTTTTTGCTGTAGAAAAACACTGTATCATTCTAAGTGAGAGCTACTGTTATGTGGAAGCTTAAACCTCCTCCCCATTCTGCAACAATAGCACTTACACGATGCAGCTTTGTGGAAAGGCTTTGTTCTAAACATGCAGTCTGCTTGCAACAAACGTCACTAGTGCAAGTTCTGTTCTAGAAAAGGGCATAAAAAATACAGATGGCAGAAGAAGGAGACATAACCATAAAAGACAAGAACAAGCTGTAACTTAAAGAGACAACTTGGAAGCTGGAAGACCTGAGGAAGAGATTCCTGTATTCTTTTAGCTGTTTTGAGGATGAGCCAGGGCTCATGCATGCTGAGTAGTTTACTCTTGTTAAGTATAGCTAATCCTTTCAAACAGATTATCTGTTTAAAAAAAAAAAAAAAAAAAAAAAAAAGTGTGTGTATATATATATATTTTTTTCTTAAAGCTTCTGTGATACAGATAAAAATATTATTTTGATTGGCCTTGAATCCCATAAGTACTTTTTTCTCAACTACTAAACATATCATCTATACAGTTATGTAATAATAATACAATTTACTGCAGGTAAGCATGGTGTGATGTTTTATTTATATTTTACTGTTGAGACGTGACAGAATGATGTTTCTGCTGCTTCCAGGTTTCACTCATTAGAGTGAGCAGGATAGTGGGCACAGATTCTTGTAATACCATCAGGCTAAAGCGTAAGGGGAATTTAAGCAATGCCTAATTCTTAGAGGCCCTCACCTGGTGTAAACTGTAGCTACAAGTTACGAGACTAAATAACATAGGAAGAAGCATGCACCAAAACCAGTTAATGAAATCCAGTCTGCTAGTGCAAGAAAACTGAACTTTTTCTTTGATATTCCCTCCCTGCAAAGTTTATCAAAGTCAAGTAAGAATTTTGACACCACCCCCTATCTATTGAAGTCATAGTGAAAAAATTTCAGTATTCATTGTATATCCAAATTATTTCTAGATGTTCAGTTCATAATAAATCTACTTAGAGTGCTTTGTTCTGATGAACTCATTTAAATGTATTATATTAAAAAAATGCATTTTCAGAGGCTTCTCTAGACACTTCTTAATCGGTTGTCATGGTGATGTCACTGATTACAGTTTTTAATGTCCCATTTGAAGATTATGCACTACTTAATGATCCAAAAAGTAGGTTCTAATTTCTTTTTTCTTTTTCTTTTTTTTTTCTTTTTCTTTTTTTTTTTTTGTTCAAATCTTTCATGGAATGAATTACAGAGATTAGTAAATAGTAAAAAATAATGACAAATACAAATCATACAATGTAAAGGATGATTTCCTTACGATGTTTTACATAAAGTACATTTTCAGTAAACATAGCGATAAAATAGAAAAGTTGTAATCACCAAAAATGGGTATATGGGTAAAGAACACCTGAAATATCCTTGTGTAAGGATTGTCTTCATCTCTCTTTAAAATTACAAAATGGTAATGGTCTGCAGAGCATGTGAAATTATTTTATATTTAAGAAGAATTTGTTGTGACATATTTCTCAGTTCCTGGCTGGACTGTCACTTCGACTTAGTTAGCTTTGCAAGCTGCAGCAGAGATCTAACTGGAAATTCAGTTTCAGCTTCACCTGAGCGTGCTCCACATTTTGGGGAAAAAAAGTTCTTGTTACCTTCCCATCTTTAAAGGGTAAAATGTCATGCATGGTTCCTCTAAAAAGTTTAAAAGCATTCCTTTCATCAACAATATTTTAAATTTCAAGAGATATTTTTGTACACTTTTGTAATCTTTATAGGTGTTGCAGACTGTAATCTTTCCTACATGCACATTCTTCTTGTCTATCCAGATAGTCTGAACAAAACAAGAACCTCCTGTTACAATACAAACTACTGTGTTCTCCAGTAGGGACAACATAACTTTTCTTTAAAAATCAATTTTCATTAAGGTCCATTTCCCAAAAATTATTTGGGAAAATTACATGGAATACCTGTGAAGTCAAGAGAATTGTAAATGACATTGGATGTACTTATATCAGTATGTAGATTTGGAGAAAAGGAGGTCACTTTAAAGCTCATTTCCTGGATGTTTTTAATTGTTCTGCTTGGGTTCGCACCACATGTAATTCCAGAGCACGTGAGCTTGATTCCATTCTATTTAACCTCAAGCAACAGATCTTTTTGAAATCCAATGAATGTTCATCCACAGGACCTTCCTAAAGATAATCCAGGATAAATCTTCCGAAACGTGTGTAACATGAATGTCAAGTCCTCAAGTAACAGCTGCTTTTGTCACCTCATCCTCTACTGTCTCCTAGTGTAAATATAGCAATAGTGTTTCAGACTGCTGTCAGCACTGTGCATGTGTACCTTTGGAGATTGCTTATCAGGACTGTAGTATTTAGCCTGCTGAGCCCCTGCTCAGTACTGCAGAGCTGTTTGCCTCCTCGTATCTTGCTTTCTGTTCTGCTTCCATTCTGCCTTGCATTCATCAAATTCTGCAGCCCTTATGCTGATTTGTAGCACACTGAAGTCAAGGAATTAGATGAGTGAACTGTTTGTTTATTAGGAAGGGAATTGTAAAAGTAGAGAATGGAATGAGAGTGGGAAAGAATAAGGAAAAACAAAGGAGAAAAAGGAATGATAGAGAAAAGAAATACAATGAACATTTTTCATTGTTGCAGATTAAAATGAGAGGAAAAGGAAATGCACATTCTATTATATACTCTGTTTTGGAAAGTTTTTGCTATGTTTGAAAGAGACCTATCTCATTCTGGCTATAACTGGTCTTCAGAGATTTTTTTGGTCTTGCTTACAAAATGGTTTCCATTACCATAACATTGAGTCAGTCTTTAATGTTTCTATTCTCAGAAGGTACAGAGGTTATATTAGCCCCATTGAACAAATGAAGACCTCTATACACAGAAGGAAAGAAAAAAAACCACCTTGATTCCTAGAGGCTAAGTGCCTTTTCATAGGTCAAACTCAGGAAATTGAAGCATGAGCTTTCCTCATTAGAGTGTAGTGCTTTGTGATAGCTTTTGATATTCTTCCATCTTGTACAATTCTCCATGTTATGTGAGAGGAACAGAATGATTATCATTTCTTAATGAGCTTATAGTTTCTGCTGTAAAAAAGAGAAAACAAACAAACAAGAAAAAACAAAAAACAAAAAACCAAAAAACAAAATAGTTAGTACTTTCACAAATACCTCATCTGCCTCGTCAGTATGATGTCCTTCCTATCTGTCTCAGGCTGTCAGGTCCTTAGAGAAATCACGATGATCTCTTCATTTATTCAGGCCTAGTGGTGAACCATTTTGTTTCCTCCTTACTAATTTCACAACTTCATACTTGCTTGCTATACACAAGCACACACAGTGTGCATGTAGTCATTGCTGTGTCCAATCAAGAGAGCAACCTACTTAGAAAGTAATCTTCATTTCATATTCACAAAATAAAGGTACATTTATGGTCATACAATGGCTTGTTTAGGCCAAATGTAGGTCATTACATTTCTGTGAAGTACTCATCACTTCATAGCTTTATATGCTGACCTCTCATATTACAACATTTCATACTAATTTATGCATTTTTTCTCTCTCTTTTTTTATTCTTTCATCCAACCACTGGAAATTTAATTCACCATTGTGGATTGAGTGGCATGCATTCACTCTAATGGTCAAGTGATTAGCTCTTCAGGATGGCATACAGATCTTAAAACAAATATATTTATTTGTCATTGAATATTCAGAGAAGATCATGATCTTACTTAATTACATTTCAGCAATAAGATACATGACAGAAAGTTGATTTTTCCCTCTAAACTTGAGACTCTTTCCATACTGGCATTCAGTTTGATTAATGTTTACATTAACTGCAATTTATTGGTCACTTGCTCAGCAGAAGCTTTCCAAAGAAAGATTATAAATGCTAATATGTTACTATTTACATCCCCATAAAACATCCACGGATTACAAATTGGAAAATACAGGACTAATTAACACTGATCAGCAGATGTGTATGCTGATGTGATATATTGGGAAAATCTGATTTTCAGCTTCATTTAGTCAGAATCAACATGTTGATCATTATTATGAGTGACTGAGCAGACATTAAAACATAATGGTAAAACTCCGTTTATACATTCAGTCTTGTTTCCCTGTAGCTCTAAGTAGGTAGAAATAGGATTAAGTTTCAGGTGTATCTATTTTGCATTGAATTTGAAAATGAAATTTTATTTACATAACTGTGTAAATAAAGATACTTGGAATCTTTCTCAAGTTAGTATGGTAAATCAGTCCATGGACGATATTGACAAGACAGGTTCACACAGGCCTAGAAATACTTTCAGTATAGAAGAAAACTGAAATTGCCCTTTTTTGATATACTGTTCTTAGGTAATTTTAATGTGATTAGAATAGGAGATAAGAGATATCACAACATAACTAAATCAAGAAGGAAAAAAACCTTAAGACAATTGATATGTTCATTACAGGTGTAGTACAATAGAAAAGGAAGAGCTTCCAGTTCCAATGAACAAAATTATCAAAGGAAAAAAAACACTTTATTCTTGTTTTGAACTAGAATGTTTAGATGCAATTGTGCCATATGCTAGTGGGCAGCAAGACTAAGGCAGATGTGAAGGTTTGTGAGAGGAACACACAGAAATGAGAAATTAGAATGAAGAAACCGGCTGGTCATACTTGCAGCCCATAATCAGCAAGGAGCACATCATTCCTGTTTACTCGTAGGAATTGCTGGAAAATGAATAGCATTAAACGTTCAGCAACATTATTCCTTTTCTATGTCTGCACAAATTTTTAATGGTTGTGATGTCCAAAATAATTTGTATAGATTTTAAAGCTGGGAAGTATTTTCACTCATGCTTTAGCAAGACAGCCCAATAAATGCAATTTCTGAATACCCCCCTAAAAGTCTTAATTGGACTATTTTTGAATCAGTTTGAGATTAAATTTTAAATTGGTGGCAACTTCCTTCATGATGTAAACAGATTAAGTTTTTGCCTCCTATATGGTATCCCAGAAAACGTGTGCCTGTTTTGTCAGATACAGCTTTGCCAGTGCATGCACGCTCACATACAAGTGCCTATTTTTCTGTCAACACGAGTGATATGATTTATATATATATTTATGTATATACATATACACATATATGTATTTAATAGTACGCATATATCTCAGTTTTACATTCTTGGCTTTTCAGTTGTGCTAATACAGTGAGTTCTATTGTTGGCACTTTTAAGGTCTCACATACCTACCAGTCTGTACCTCCCATATGTACCAGTTCAGCCTTCAATCTCCCCACCTTCTTTGAAGTTTCCTTCTCACAAGCTCTAAAAGTCTTTCAGAAAGGAGAAAAATGTCATTTTTTCTCATCTGTTGTGAACAAGGTTCAGGTCATCCATGCAGTCTGTTCCTCTACCATAATTTCTTTCCTTTTAACAGGTTGGGAATGCTCTGCCAGAAGATAAAAGCAAAAGAAGGAGATTCATGAACTCAAAGAGCTTTTTTTTTCTGCCTGGCCCAAGCATTTCAAATTTTATTAACCTCTTCTATTATCTGATTTATTATTCCTGTATATTGTGCCTTGGTTGGGCCATTAGTTAATGGTGTTGCTATCAGAAACAAAGCAAGACTGACATAAGAAAGGAGAGATCTGTCTTTCATTCCTGGTCAGGTGAACAAAATATGGCAAGCTGATGTGTGTCGTTAGCAACTTTGCTAACCAGAAATTCCTTCTAAACATTTCTGACTGCATTCCCCAGATTTTGACAAATGCTTTGGCCATAAAAGAGTTTTTAGCTTCAAAATGATTTCTATACAGTATTTCTGTACAAGAATAGTATTTCCTCTAATCTGACTTTCTCACAAAGAAAATTTCTACTGGATTTTCAGTAAAAATGAGTTTAAATTCTTCTCTTGATCTGAAGCATTATGCTTCAGAAATTATGCTCTCACCACAAATCTTTGTTTGGAATCAGGTATAGTAACATCCACTGACTTGTTTTCTGAGTTCATCCAAAAGGAAATAATTATTCTGGAGGAATATGTAGTACAGATATTAGATTAATCAGTTATTCATTTGTCAAATGGGAATACATAAAAGAAAATACACTCTTTATATTTCTACATTTAATTAATATATTATGGAAACAATTGCGTTTTCTTACAAAAGGGAAAAACTTACTCCAGTACTTATCAGTACTTTTTATTTATTCAACAATGTAGATTTAATTCCCTCTTCCTCTTCTGTTGTACTTGACCAGCAACCAAACCAGAGTCTCAGAAACAAAAGTTAAGGAATTTCATCCCTTTGTGCTACAGAGTCTATAGGGAGTAACAATGCATTCTTCTGAAGAAATGCTGCTGAAGACATAAAATTATTTCCCTAGCAGTCAGACCACTACAAAGCTGCATCTATTCTCTGCCTAGTTCTGTGCATTTTGAAGTGCTTAGCTAAAGCTGGCCTCTGCTAATAGTGATCCCTCTCAGTCTTGTTTTATGCCAGAAGTTCCATACAGGAATGACAGAACTGTATATGCATATTAGCCGTTCATATATCTCCAATCCTTTTTACCAATTTAATTTTATATTAAGGCTTCTGAATAGGAATAATGAGTTTTCCAAGAAACTTTTCATATAAAAATGAAAATGATAGGCATCTGTCTTCACTGAACACAGAATAGTTGCCTGCAGATCAGTGAAAATCTGCTGTTTTCGTCAGTTGAAGAGCTTTAATATATTTGTTTCTGCTTTTAATTCACATTTTCAGTTACTTTGTTGAGATAGAGGCAAATACCAGGTAGAAATATAGTTGGGGGAAAAAAAACAAAAAACAAACAAAAAAAACCCTAACTTATCTACATACTTGTAATTAAAATATAGCAATCTCAAGTCAAGGATATGGGAGCCAGCAAAGAAAAGAGCTTTCTCAGTGAGGTACTTTGTGGAGTTTAGGGCCTTTAGAAGAGCACTTTTTTTAACCCAAAGTCATACAATTATACAGGTTCATCATACTGCTCATACAGTGTTCAGATGCTTGACTTTTGAATGCTTGCCTCTGTAGTGTTAATAGAGCATTACAGTAATTACCTTTGACACATTTGAATGTGGTTTTTTAGTTTCTAGTGCAGTAATGTTTGGAAAGTATTATATAACTGCAAAGTCTGTATCATCTGTTTGTTACCGTTGTCCAGAAAATCTCTCTCAAACCTTGGGAAAGTATCAAATAGTAGGCAAAGTATGGTAGATGCTCTAGATTTCATCTTGTCTATAATACATTTTTGTACTAAAAGTTGAAGATTTTTCTAAGGCAGGTCCAAACAGTGTCTCAAATTCCTGCCAGCATTCTGCTTGAAACTGTAACTTTCTTCCAAGTCATCTTCTTTCTATTTTAAAAGCTGTCATTATTCAAATGTTAGTGCATTTCCATATCTTCTTTTATTTACAGTCACTGGTAGTTGAATGTGCACAAATAATCATGCAGCTACTTTCAGTTACATTTTGTGAGTAGTAGGTCACTGTAAGATGCAGAAATAATTGTATAACTTAAAGAAAATCTAACACTGTGTATTTATGCTTGTGTGCAAACACAACCACAAATGTAAATATGTATATACACACCATCCTGTCCCATACAGTTGTAACCAATGAAGTCTTACATCAGGTTCTGTGAGGCTTTTTTTAGAAGAAGATAACCATTTGCTTTTCTAGTACTAAATCAATCTGGAAGTGGTAACAATGTTTTAAAAAATAAATCTTAGGGAAGTAAATGAAAGATCACGTGTTGGGAAGAAAGAGAAGGAACATCAAGTATTTGAATTATTTGCACCAAATACAGTCTATCATTCATGTCAGCTATGAAAAATTGTCTATCATCTAAGTTAAAAATTGAAGAATGCTAACATTTTTACAGAAAGGCTCATCTAGATCTTAATTTCCAATTATTACTTTCATATATTGATAATTTAATTTAGTGCAGCTTCTAAAAGCAGCAAATCTACAGCTGCCTGCTGTACTCTACGTGGTTTCAATACTCTTTATAATCTGATGTGTAAGTTAGTGTACCTTGAGGAATAGGGAATCTTCCAATTTATTAGCTGAAGTATCTTACATCTTTCGATGCTTGAAAAAATTTTATATTGACATATCCGGAGTTTTTATTGAAGTTATATTAGTGCTATCTATCAGGGATATGCTAGAAAATCTATAACTTCCACCAAAATGTTGCCCATGTGAGCAATTCAGTTTATGAAGTACAATCTTCTCAGGCTGACTTAGTGCCTCCTGGTTCATTTTTCAAGCTATGTGATGTCTAATGAATTTGTCAAAATAAAAACTAATACACAGTTTCACGTCTATCATCAAATTATGCTTTCCAATATAGGGCTAAAAGTATGAAAAAAGACACCTATATGAAAGTCTGCAAATGGAAAACATCTCAGGTCTATGCTATTCTATTTCCTATTTTGACACTTCTTTGCAGTCTCAGAGCTGTTTTACTTTGGTTGCAATTACACTGGGAGTTTGTCCAGATAAAGTAATGACACTGTTTCATTATGTGAAGCATGTAGATATTTGTCTGTGGTGCACCATCCAGCCAGTCAATATATTTGAGAAAACATAAATAAAAGGAGAGGTTGAGAGGTCTTTATGACCTTCTTTAAAGCAATCTCAGATCCCATTTTCTAAACCACTAAACAGAGATTTTGAAACTCATTTGTTTTGCCTTACATATTAAGTCAGAACCTTACATCAAGTATCAGGCTGACATTTTTAAATAACAGCATAATGTTTACCCTGTTTATATATGCAGCATTGTTTTCCTCAGGTCTTAAGTTTCTTTGAATAAAGCTAAGAACGGTAAGCCTTTAGGAATACTAAAAGGGAAAATGATTTGTCTGTGCCCTATTCAGCAGGCATCAGTAATATATGCTATCCTGGCTACCAATTTTCATAATCATAGGCAGTTGTCAGTCATCATAAATCAGTCTCTACTGTGACCTCTGTGGGACTAAGCAGGTCACTGCAGAGTGCTTCACATGTTTTATTTTTCTCTTTTGATGGAGTGAAATAATGACACAGTGGCAAGAGGAGAGTTACAAGACCTGCAACTTCAATCAGATGCCATGTATGCACTCTCAGGTACAGTCAGGGCTTTGGGACTACAAAGCTGTGCTTTCACTGCAGCTGATCCAGAGCTGGCAATTCTCTGGCCTTTCCACATGCAAGTGTAATGTTCAGGAACTTTAAGCTGATAAAACATATTAAAAACCCACTGGGGAGGCACTGCTGATTATGGAAAGTAAACCTTAAGGCTCAGAGAGGCTTCTTGTAGAGAACAGGTAACCATCAGTAGACATATTCTCGTATTTCATCATTAAAAAGTGTATTTTAAGTGTTTCTTTTGTAAGCCTGTAGTGTCAGCTGCTGAGCTGAAATGATGTGGTTTTGAATTTAATGGAGTGATGCTGATTTATGCCCACTGATACAAATTTTACACATGTGGATGCTCTTAATGCCAGACATGGATGGAATAACTTTTAAATGTCTTGAATTCATCTTAACAAATAGGCTGCTGCCCTGTGTGAACATGTCCTGTTAAGAGCTTACCATGGTATGTACTGTGTGTTACCTTAACAGGTAGGAGTATAAGGGCAACCTTAAATACACATGTAATTGTGTGGGGCCAGGAATGTAACATGGGAGCATACTGGCACCAAACAGTAAGTGCCAGCCCTAAGAAGTACACAATGTACTGCCTATTTGCTGGCTGGATAGTGCCAGTCCCAAGCTAGTCTCTGCTTAGTCAATAGTGCAGGCAGACTCCGACAACTTTTCTGCTGTTTTAGCATTTTCCCATGCTTGTTCAGAAGATGATACTGCTGGGATAGTCAGCAGAGCCTGCAATGCAGTAATAAAACATGATTATAGATTTTTGTTTTGGTTTGGTTTGTTTTTCAGGCAGGGTTGAAGTAACTGTCAGGAAAAAAAAAAGTTGAAAAAGGCAGAGGACTCTGAGTGAAATGATGACTACAGACAAATCTGGGAATAAATAACAGAGGTAACACTGAAAGACAGTCTGTTAAGGTCTTAAGATTACCCCAGAGGGGTTAATTGAGTTTTTCAAAACATTTTCCATTGGTTTCAGATGGTAACATCTAACTAATGAATCAAGAATGAAGATTCCTTGAAGGAATGTTCATTAGCTTAATTATGCTCATTAACATAATACATTCATCACTTAATTCAGATCTGATTGGCTTACTTAGGATTAAAAGCCTGGAGCTGCAAAACTGAAAATGACCTTTTCTGTGAGCGGGCAGACTTTCCTGCTCAAAAGGTTTGTGATCACAGGGTCCTGTAGCCCATGTTTTCACCAGCACTTGCAGTCTATTTTTGTTCACCACTACAGCCTCAGTAACAAAGGTTCTCAGAGTTTCTTTTCAGTTCCAGAATATCTAATATTTGCCACTCAAATTCCTACGAGTCAGTGCTGTATTCTGGAAATAGTTAATGTAGAAACTCTGTTTAAGTTGAGTTCATTTATTCTTGATAATAACGGAACGGTAGGTTGGCATCCTAATGTCCTATTTTTCTGCTTAGTTGGAACCTGTCATGTACATGTTAACATTAACAGGAAAGCTGAATATGAAACTTGACTTCACTACCTAGAACATTAAAATTTCAGTAAGTTCAAAAAAGAAAAATGCAAACATTTGAGAGGTCATTTTGCTTGTTCTTTTTTTTTTTTTTTT